GTCTCCCTGGTCCAAGACAAGCTTAACTAAAAACAAATGTCTGCGCTGCCTCCTTAAATACCTCTCATGAAATTACACACTGAGAGCTACAAGGTGCAAATAGCAGTCATAAAGCTCCAGGAGACGAGCTGAGACGCTACCTGGGAGAAAAATAACAGCTGCACTCCCGCACTCAGGGAAATGGGCAGATCCAGGCACGACCCTTCAGGAACTCTAATCAAAGGAGCTGAGCGGATATGAGGAAACTCTGAGCGATGCACCTGACGCTGTTCCTATTTCCATGAGAGAGAGGCTTGTACTTGCCTTGCTGCTTTTAGAAGCTGAAACCAGACCTCTTCAGAGCTGCTATAAGAGTTTATATGCCAGCTGAAACTATTTGGGAAGGGTGTCGATGATTCGTTTTTTAAATTCTCTTACATCACCTCAGTGACTAACTGTTGCTGTTCTTGTTGTGAAGAGGCAGATTCAGAGTCTTAACCCCTTCCTTGACATTTCATTGCATGAATGCTGACTATATATATCTAGACTAAATCAACTTGAGCTCCTCAGAAACACCATATCCAGCAGGATCGCATGTATCCTTGCACATTGCCAACAACCTCCCGCCAACAATTAGTCATCCGTGGCGCCTCTTTCTGCTCTGTACAGGGCAAATTATGCTACGCTCCATTTCTGTTCATTATAAATAAATATGTTAGTCTTTAATTCTGTCAGTCCATCAAAGCTACATTGAAAGCCTGGAGAGTGAAACTTGGGATTGTTTTATGAGGGATAATAATGTATATATTTTGGACAAGAGATCTGAAGAGTTGCTGGGGGTTACATGGTTTGGTTTAGCCAAATGATGAATGCTAAATCATAAGCATTGTGGGGAATTAGGTAAAAGAGAATGAACCTATGCACAAGGTCCTGCTAAGAAACAGCTTTGGATCAGAAATCAAACGATTTCTTTGGGATTGAAGGTTTGTTCTTGGTTTTAATTAAGAGTGAACAAAATAAGTTCATTATATAAGGACCTGTACCAACAAAAGCAGCTGTGACATGCTACAAACTACCAGTTTAGACCACTGTCGGACTGTCAGTGTCTTAGGGGCCGTTTACACGATACCGCTTTCAACTTGAAATGGCAAACTTTGTATGCGTTTTAGGGGCCTGAAAGCACAAACTACAAAAACGTGTAAACTACAAAAATGCGAATTTGTAAAAACTGTGAGGTCATGTGCATTATAGGTTTGGGCGTGTAGTTTTTCTATAAGTGGCCAACTACTGGCCTGGCATGAATAATACAGCGGTTTTAATAGTTTTCGCGGATCCCTGTGGACGGGTATCGTTTTGAAAACGCTGCCGTCTGTAACGCAAAGAAATATCTTTTCCGTTTTAGCACATCGTTCATGTGTAAACGTACCTTTAATGTGCCTGTGACACAACTTTTAGATTTCATATCTCTAAGTATTTCCTCTTTAAAGCCTTAAAGTAAACATTAAACTGCATTCACAACTTATTTAACACTTTCCCCACCACCATTTTTGAAAAAAGTTGCCATTTTTGATCATTTTCATATGGCCGCAGAATATTTTGTTGTATAAATATCTGAACGTGCAATATATCAAGAGAAAGAACAGAGCTTTTATGCATTCTTATTCTAGCTTTATGCATTCTTTTTTTAATCAACATTTGAATGTGGGTAAGTTTAATAAAAAAAGGAACATTTTGAGCAAAAAGCTGAGAAAATCACGTTTTTTTGTCAAAGACTGCATCAGATTCAGAACGATGATCAAAACATAGATGGAGTTAAACGAGTCCATCAACACCCCTAAAGCTTGCATAATCCTTTACCTCGTCCTGGGTCGTCATTTCATTCAGTAACATTATAGGCAGGTTTGATATGCTATTTAATCTTGATGATCACGTTATTTGACATATTTTACATTATTATACATATTACCCATATCGCTTGTCTCTGCTTCTTCTTCACATATCTTTTGATCAGGAGATTCAGTACTCTTTCACAAGATGTGTCATAGCGCCCCCTACCGTATAACACGGAAAGCCGGAAATTTCCGTCAATGACAGGGAAGTGTTGTCTCATAAATGATGGGAAATTCCATCGGTGGAAGACTTAAATTACATAATGTAACATAAAATGAATATTCAGTAAGGCGGGATTTTTATCATTAGAAACTGACTGGAAAAGTGGAAATTCCATACCCAGATTGAGTTGTATGGATTACTTCTACACTACTTTCATGTCTTTTTTGTGATTGAAAGTTTTGAGTTCTGCACAAGAAAGCAGCAAGTGTTTTGAACAACATGAGCATGGATAAATTATGACATAATGTGTGTATTCCTTTAACAAGACCAGGAACATGTAGGCCTACAGTGAATTTTGTTTTGATGTAGACTTTAAACATTTTTTTAATTTCTCAAAGTAATAATGTTAATCAGTTTAAATTCTGTGTTATCCACAGTACAGCGTTGGGGTTGGGTGTCCAAATGTAGATTTATGGCTTCAGTTTATGGCTGACATCACTCACAATTAGCCTGTTATTGTAGACTGGCGACACTTCAGAAAGACTTTCAGTGTGGAGTTTCCAAGGCACGGCACTCGTGTCAACCCAGACTGCCATTTCCAATGACCCTCCTAATTGGCATCCCATGTGCCACCATTAAAGTCAACTATTGTACCCTTTTGTATAAAGCCGTCAGCTTGAAATCATTGAGGCCTATTCGCCTAGTCCTCAGGCCTTTAAACTTACAGTTAGGACCTTTTATGACAAACTCAGACTGTCATCAAAGCCCTTCCAACCTCTTGTGGTGATCTGCCAACCTGGTCTCAGCTACTCAAAGGGAATTTATACATGGGCTTTACAGGACAAGTAAGGAGAGGCAGAGTTAACTAATGACTCTGCACCACTGCTAATCACATCCAGCTGGGGACAGTGTGATAGTCTACACCATTACACTGCCAAAACACATTTCAACAGTAGACCTAGAACATTTTCAATGACAGTAAGATTTGATCTGCCTCCATTTAAAGACTGACGATCGCACAGAGGTTAAAAGTCATAAGGAAATGAACTAACAGAGATTATCTCAGAGTGAAAAATCAGACACAGATCATACTCAGAGCAAGTAGTTTCATCATTCACCGCCTGTTAAAACTTTTTTCGCAATAATTGTTGTACTTAGATTTAAATCATTCACACCAGTCGTGATGTAGTACTGTTAATGCTATGGATCTCCATTTGACATAATGTTGTGACTCGGGCCAGTGCGAACCATGGGATCAAAGTTTGGACTTTTTTTTTTTTTTTTCATTAGTCCCACACCATAATGCTGGCACCAATGACTCAGGGAATTCGTGAAAAGATCAATGTGAGCAAATATGGCAAACAGATAGCAAATTGACAGATGTCCTTGGCTTTAACCCATCCAGACAGCCAGCGCTTAGTGAAAATCAATGAAAATGATTGATGCAAGGTTTGTAGTAAACTGCATGAATATAGATTTATGGTGTGTTCGAACATTTGGCATGTTTGTTTCAATTAAAACGATCCCTGGTCCGATTGCTCTGTTAGTGTGGTTAATTTGAATAAGTGTGAACGCTGCCATACGAAGCCTGTCACACACCAAACAAGCGGACCGAGACCCACTGAAAAGATGGGTCTTGGTTTGCTTTCAAACATACTCTGGTGTGGTTTGACTGAAATATGAACACAACAATGTGTGTTCATGTACCGTAACGCAGGGATACACCGAAATTTGAGCAACTGAAAATATTTGGCTCAAATTTTCGGTTTTGGCCATTATAGTGGCCAAATAAAAAAAAACATTGACTGCGGGCTTCTCCGATGACGCGGTTTCACTGTTTCAGGGTCTACTTCATGCACACGTTGATAACAGGTAAACACGTCAGCTGTGTGGATGCACTTCACCGTGACCAAATATTACGCAGGAGTAGCAATATGTTTGGCTGAAATATCAAGAGGTGGCTCGTTGCCGAAAAACTTTACTACAACTGATCCATTTTCTCAAATTTAATTCAAACGATTGGTTAATTCAAAATGAATCATTTAACGACATTCAGATACGGACTTTGAGGCGGACTCAATGTAAAACGGACTCAATGTAAAACTGAGTATTTGTGGATTCTTGAAGAGCTCATTGTAATTTTTCAGTGTTGCTGTAGATCCTTGCCAAAACAAACTATGTACAAATAAAACATCCTCATGTATTAATGCTTATGTGACAACAATATGTGTTTGCTTCCACTGAGGACGAGTATAGATCCTACAAATGTCGATTTGGCTAATAAAAGGAGGCTCTGTTCTCTAGTAAAACCTCCCCTGACCCAAATTTATGTGTTATTGAGTCACTGGTTTTAGGGGATTTTAATACTGTGATTTAAGACGGGCTCTATTGATGGGACAGGGCACTCTATGTCAGTCCAGTCAGGGTAAAGTCATGAGAACTGCGGCACAGTCACTTTGCTCTTCCGGAGTCTACTGGGAGCCGAATCTCGTCCGGCCTGGGAGCCAAAATAACAAAAGCACTCTGGAGGGTTGAGGTTTCTCTGCACACCGAGCATTAATCCACGGAGAAAACAAGCAGATGGGACGATGGGTAGGCTAGACTGTTGAATACAGCAGTTTTGCACTCAAAGGCCAACATGATTCAATGCATTGATGATGACACAGCCATCGCTCTACTGTTCATGCCAAAAATGTTTGAGGTTGTGGGTCTTATTCTCTCCAAGGAGAAAATACATTCTTTCTGGTCTATTTTCATCACCATCATTATCAACTATTTGAACGGCATATCATAAATCAGTTGGGGTTAGTATTCATTTTTCACATTTCAGAGGGAATAGAATAGAGAAACCCTAATAGTTTTTTTCTTTTTTTGCAAAGATACATTCTTAAGACTTGATTTGATTCCTGAAAATGACTCCTTCCATCATTATATAATCAATCAGCTCTGAAACAGGATAACCCACTCACCATGCCCGCGCATGTGGACAGGGCCACATATGAGTTGACCTTTGACCTCAGCACCCCATGGTAGAAGCAGAGGTCGTCTTGTGGAAAAGGCTGCAGGCTCTTGGTGCCGCTCCTGCCCAGGGTTTGTACAGTGAAGCTGGGTGTCATCAGGTCATGTGACGGCTGCAGGTCCAGGTGGAAGTCCTGCCCTAATCCATGGAACCTAAAGTGAACAGTGGGGTCGTGACCTTGACCATCCGTGGAGCGTTTCCTTCTGTGCTGGTGGGCCACGGCATGGGAAATGTAACGTCCTTGATGGTCCACCTCATATGGGGCCACAATCTCATATTCTACATAGGAAGGAAGTTAGGTTATTACATGTTAGAGTTCAATGCATTATTTCTGTTCAGGTATGAAATAGATTAATCTGAAATATCTGCAAAAGTGTCATTCTTACACCACTAGTTTTCTGAACACTTTTTGTCTTTCATTGTTTTGATGAGTATTTATTCAAAACATTTTTCTGAATAGAAGCATATTTATATGTGATGTTAAATGCAAATAAGAATAATGCATCAATAGTTTTATTATGCATTGTTTATTTTGAAAGAGTACAACCCACACTATACATTGTACGATTAATCCAATGTGTTACTTGCCATTTCTTTGAAATTAATTGTACAATTTACTAGCAATTTCTGAGTGAACATTTACATCATTTTTTTTTTCAGTGCATAAAGACATACTTTTAAGTGCTAAGTGGGTGATAGTGAAATAATTCAGCCAATTCAGGTATTTTCTTTTTCTTTTCTGAACTAAAGTAAACTAAAAGAATGACATCCATGTAGCGTCTCATCTTTTTTTAAACTTTCACTAATGCCTCAAATTCACATATTACACTGAAAAAAAATGGTGTAGTAGAAACAATGTTCACAAACTGCTAGTAAATTTCACAAACAGTTGCAAAGATGGGGCAAGTAACGCATTGAATTGAACATGAACTTTTGAAGTAGAAAGACTTCTTGTATTTTCTTGTAAATCATTTGTGCAAAAGAGTCAATGCTGCTTAAGTTGGGAAGGACACAACTATTTAATAATGAAAAATAATACAAATACAAAAATAAAAGTCTAATTTTAAGACTAATATTTTGGTTTGCCAGATAAAGTATAAATATGGCTGCAGTTTCTATAGTCCAAATACAGATCTTCGAAAGGACTAAGAACATTTAAAAGCCATTTATCATTTAACGATTCACATTAGGGAAAAAAAATAAATGATTGTATCTATACAAATGCAAGCAAATGTGATTTATAGGAAGAACACGTCAAGATGCTGCTCATAGGGCAAAGGTCAGAAGACGTGTTTTAATGTTGTGTGATTCTGACCTCTACATACACTCACGCTCCTCTCATCCTCGCGGTGGTCTGGTGGCTCGAGTTATAAATGCTTTTACAGACATGAGCAGACAGATTTATGATCTCTGACCGTAGAGACACACACTGATGACACACACTCCTAACGCTCCGCTGTGATATGGAGACACACGCTCTCACCGTCTCTCATTCTCTTTCTCTCACACAAACTTGCGCGCACACACACACACACACGCTATTATATCTGGCTACTCCAGTCTCTAAGCTCATGCCAAACAGTGCAGAGACTCTTCACAGGATAAAGGCAGTAAGTGCACACAGAGACTGTTTGTAAAGCTTGGCTGATTGATGGAGAGCTTCTTCAAGTGTCTGTCTTTGTTCATTGTTCACTAAGTCCCAGTGCATGCCAATCTTTATGCCACACACCCCCACTTTCTGTGTGTGTGCATGCACAAAATTGTCCACAGAATCGACATACAAAACTCACTTTCAGGGATATCTGGGGACACCCTTGTTTGGATTTTTTAAAAATTTATATATGAAATAAACATTTTTATTTTCAATTCAAGAGGTTTTCTTTTAGGAGAAGAGGTCAGGTTAGTCTGTATCCAAACCCTTGGATTATTATATATATTTATATAAAAACTGCTATTGTTTTTAGTATATCCTTAATTACAAAACAAATTAAATGTATGTGCATGTGTGTCAGGTTCTGTCTACGCCAAATGTCACCACAAGAACATTCAAACCTGAAATCGCCTATACAGTACATTATTTTTGTATTATATTATATTTTTAATAGGGCCTTATCATCTCAACACAACAGTTTTACTTTTTTATAGAGTGCATTTGTCTCAGATCAATTAGGATATCTAGCGCCCCCTGGCGACGACATCCCATCTAGTCATTTTCCTTCAAAACCATGTTTCTTTTATTTTTAAACGAAAGTCTCATACAAGTCTAAATTAATGATGCAATATTAATAAATTGCTCACATGCCCCATTAAATGAAACAATAATAGTAATGTGACCGACAGCTGTCAATCACATCGGACAGGTATGCTCTCACCTGTGTTGTGAGGTAAACGCAGTGTTTCCAGCAGAGGTTTATGCTTTACACGAGGACCAGCATGAAGGGTTGCAGATGCACAGGAAGTTCTCTACATGGATAATGAACAGTGAACATAACATGCATCATTTGCAATGCAATTAAACGCAATCACTTTGAAGAAACAGGCGCGTGTTTGCTCACCTGGTGGCATCCGAGTATGAAAAACAGAATGAAGAGCACAGAACAGATTGATGAGGTATAATTCCTCACTGATGGCTCAGGGCGCAGGCAAGCCATGTCTCCTGCAGACTCTGCGCCTCTCCAAATGCGCGCTCTCCGCTGAAACACTGCACGCTCTTGTGCACTTAAAATCTATTCATACAGCATCAGTGGAGTTCCTTCGAATCAAACGCGATCCCGAATCCATAATCTGTATCCTGCAAGTGTATTTCCAGATCCAACAGCATTTTGGAGAGGTTTATTTTCTTCCTGCGGATTAGTGGCGTGTGATTGAGGATAAGTGTGCCATTCTTAATGCAGATGTTCTCCGCTCAGTGCGCTTTGAGTGAATGTCTGGAGCGACTCGAACGCCGGTGTGATTCACACGCGCTTCCAAACAGCCAATCGCAGCTCGCACCTGTGCGCAAGAGCCCCTGGTTCCCGATGAGAGGAGGGTCGAAACACTGTAAAAAAGTAAACCAACTAACAGTAATTTCTGCACTACAGTTTTTAATCAAATTAAATGTGGCGTAAAGCTTCTACTAATTCAAAATTGGATATTCTTATTTTTTTAATGTAATATTTCAGTATTTATTATGATTTATCCGTGCACATTATCAGAATAATTATTATTTAAAAGTTCATGTTTTTCTTTTACAATCTTAAACCAAAGTAGCCAATCTCCCCCTCACACAAAATCTATTATTTTCTCTGATGACGCGTTTACTGGCATGAGGGCAGGACAACCTGTCACTCACATGAAATCAAATAGCAAACCAAAAACATTCAACTATTCAATCAATTCCCCATGGACAAAATCAAATCTTATCCTGCATTTGTATCTTGTTCCAGAAGCCGTTTCAGGGCTATATGTTACAATGAAATAAAAGACTATTGCAATTTCCATATGACAATTTTCTCATGATCAGATCGAGACAATGTTTATTATTTGTTATGCCTTTTATTTTAAGTTGGTCATTTTAAGATTACTGTTGGAGTCAAATAGGCTACATAGAGGCTACACACTTAAAAATAAAGATTCCAAAAGTTTCTTTTTCAGTGATGCCATATTAGATAAGCATTTTTAGTTCCCCAAATAACCATTTTTTCCTGAGTGTGAAGAACATTTTAATAATCTAATGACATTTTCTTTTCACCATGAAGAACCTTTTGTGCATAAAAAAGTTCCATATATGTTAAAGGGGCTATATGTAGAATTCAGAAACGCTTGTTATTAGCGACATCGGTGGCCATTAAGTGAACTGCAGCCAACAACTTATTGCTTATGCTTGCACTCGTGCACATGTAACGTACAAGACTAAATGTGATTCAATGCCCTGACATACTCACGGCAGTTCTTCTTCACTCTTCGCTTAGAAGTAAGAAGAATTTGGAAATACTTTCAGCGAAATACTGTTAGTGGAAATGCAGACGCCGTCCACGCTGCTGAGAGTGACGTTCAGATGAATATAAATACATGCTGCACACTTTCCCCTCAGTAAAAATAAACAACAAATATGACAGTGGTGAGAAAACAGCTGTAAAGAAAGCATCTTCTGAGCATTTTTTTATTTATTTGTGCTGCCATTTCAATGTAAAAAACTGTTACAGTATTTCAGATACATCAAGGTACAATGAAAATCAAGCATTTCAATTAGATGAAGATGTAGATGGCAAAAGTGTGTAATAATATGCACATGCATAATATGATTGTGGTGGATTATGCTCTGTGGATGGTGGTGATGATTGGGCATTGATTGATCTCAGTCTGACCCTGCTGTAATTTTTCATGCTTCCTTAAATTGTTAATTTTTGCCTAGGACGTTTTGAGTTCTGAAAATCACAGTATAGTTTTATAATACATCAAGAGCTCAGGGAAAATTTGATTCCTAATGAAATCAAAGCATATAAGTGCATGTTTATTTAAAGTCCATACAAGTTGGGTTTTTAACCGGATTCATTTTTGATTGACATTCAGCTTAATGTATAATTAGGGCACAGATAATGGAAACATTAATGTTTTAAAATATTTTACACTATAGACAAATAGATAGAGATATCTAGATAGTAATTAATATCCTGTAGAAATTAGGTACTTTATAGATACTTAGCCCAGCCACTACAGCATGTGGACGACAATCATTAAATTCCCATGATGCCAGGGTGCTGCATGCAATATAACACAATCAGACACAGAATATATTTTCCTATACAGTAAGACCTCCCAAATGTAGACAGCACACTTAACAGCCATTTTGTTTGCAATATCTCACTGTCTCACATAATAAAAAAGAGAAAAAAAAAATACACTTGGTTCTGAAACTGCTCCTCGTGTTTCAAAAGTTTCCTCAGCGCACTATGATTTCTTGACGCTGTTCATGTCCTGTAGAATAATGGCCACTGCAGGCAGTAAAAAATCTGTGTCTTGAGTCTGAGATTGCTGTGAAATACAATGGCTGCATCCTTTTTCTTACATATACAGTCAATGGCCATATATAATGTGTGTTTTCTATATGCTACACTGCATGCATTTTCCGACATGAAGAAAAATGCCTTGGTTGTCATAAAACAATCTAATGAACATAAAGTTTATCAAATACATATGGAACACTGATCACACTATAGAAGTAATATTTCTCAGATTGGTTATATATGTATATGTTACTGATATATAGTGGCAGGATTCATGTTATTTTATGATGGATGGGTATAATTTTAGTCTGACAGAGGGACAGTGAAATAAGTACAAAAAATAAGTATAGAAGACATTCTGAGGACCATAATGTGCATTGTTCCCCCCGACCCCCCCCCCCCCCCGCCTCCTCTCCCCCCCCCCCCCCCGCCTCCCCCCCCCTCCCCTATGCTATTTACTGATTTCCTTCAAAAAATACTTATTTCATACATAGCATATAGTGGGTTGCACATACAAGCAGATTTTCATAAACAAGTACATACACATATTGATATATACTGTCACAGGATCAGCTACACATGCAGCCACACCGACAACACCAGATCACCCAGCTCTGCCCATCCGATCACTATCACCCGATGCACCTGCGTCCAATCCTAACTTGCACTATATCTGCAGTCACCATCCTCACTCCCATTGTCTGATCTGATCTGAACTATATACACTTACCTGACTCCTTACCTGTTATACTTACCTGCGTTCGCTATCGTCCAATTCCAGTCTTCAGTACCAGTCATCTGTCTTCGGCCACACTCCTTCAGCTCGTCTAAGTCTAGTTCAGCCATCTGTAAACACATCAAGAGTCCTGTTATCATACAGCTAAGTTACCTACAAACTATCTGTCTGCAGTTATACTCACCCTTGTCACTCTCCTGCTTACGCTTCCAGTTCCTGCAAATAAAACATCTGTGTTCCCCTACTTATCTATTTTGTCTCCTTCTGTATTATGACAGAAGACCAGATCACCATGCAGTGTAACGCTGAAGCTAGCAGGGAACCCGATTCGTTTGCCGAACTCGTACAGGCTGTTCGTCAGTCACTCCTTCCCAGAATATCCTCTCCTTCACTGTCTGCCTCTGCCGGTCCCATGGCCAATCCAGCAACATATACAGGTGAGGCGGAGGATTGCAGCGGGTTTCTTCTACAGTGCTCACTCTATTTTGAGATGGGACCTCAGCTGTTCACCACAGATCATGCCAAGAAAGCCTACACATAACTCTCTGGTCGAGCTTTGCAGTGGTTGCAGTCGATTTGGAATGCCAGTGGACCAGCTACTGTACCACCACGTTAGCAGCTTTTATCAGCCACTTCAAGGAAGTCTTCGGACAAACTGCATCTGCACTTTCAGTACACGATCAACTCTTTCGATTATGCCAGGGCAACACTTCTGTTAGCAATTATACATTAAAATTTCATACCCTAGCAGCCTCCAGCGGCTGGAATGAGACTACACTGATCACAGTGTTCTGTCAAGGATTGAATACTGAAGTGCGTCATTTACGATGACGTCATCAGGCTGGAAAATTTCATTCAACAAGCAGTTCGCATCTCTCAGCGCTTCACTGCATACTTTTTGGCCCAACCCACTCCGTTTCCTCCGTCCACCTCACCACCTGTCGCCTCATACCACCTGGCTCATGCGGAGCGTCAGAGGAGAACTGATCGCCAACTGTACCATTTGACCACCATGCCCAGAGGTGAGTTCAACTTCCGCCCATGATTGCACCTCTCACTAATGTCAGTGCTAGTAATAACCCCTAAACTCTCTGTTTCAGCGCAAGCCCTCATTGACTCGGGTTCCGCTGGGAACTTCATCTCTCACCAACTACTTCAAACATCAACCTCAGGAGAAAGCTCTGCTCCCAGGAATTAAAGGTGAACACTACCCTCGAAAAACCGTGGATGCATCCGTTATTACTCCCCCACTGTGATGCTCCGTATTGGAAGTCTCCATCAGGAACAGATCTCGGTCATGGTGCTGGAAGGTTCCATTGTGGATATCATGCTGGGACGCCCGTGGATGTCACAGCATACACTTCAAATCAACTGGAATTCAGAAGAGATTCTTCAATGGGGTGAGTCATGCTTCCACGATTGCATTTCACGAGTTCTCAAGCGACCATCAGTCCCTGCCAATCAGAGACTTTCAGCATCTTCTTCCAGTCTCTCTTTGAATTCCACGTCCATCGAAAGACCGAGTGCAAGGCCGAAATCCCTTCTGATTACCTGGTGTTCCAGGATGTCTCCAGTAAACAACTGGCAACCCAATTTCCACCTCACCGGCCATTGGACTGTGCTATTGACTTGCTGCCTGGGGCTACACCACCCAAGGGTCGAGTATATCCCCGGTCCATCCTGGAGCAGAAGGCCATGGAGGACTACATCGAGGAAGCACTTCTTCAACAATTAATCCAACCATCTACATCCCCTGCAACTTCCAGCTTCTTCTTTGTGGCAAAAAAGGACGGAGGCTTGCAGCCATGCATCGACTATCGAGCCCTCAACATTCAAACGGTGAAGTACAGCAATCCTCTTCTTCTGGTCCCAGCCGCCTTGGAGCAACTCCGTGGAGCTCGCATCTTCATCAAACTGGACCTGCGGAGCGCACACAATC